AATGCAAAGATTTTGTTGTTTGTTTCAATAATTACGATAAAATCATTCAAAATTTACTATAATATAATAAAATAATGAAGACTCAACGAAGAATCTAAACACTTGAAAGCAAAGCATTTAAGATTCATATATTCTACAAATATTCATTAATTGCCATTTATTTGTGCTTACCATTTGTTGATGTTCCTTTTTCACTTGTTCCAAATAAACATTAACGTCTGATTGATCCTTCAAGGATTCTTCTTCATTGATGTCATTCATGTTAAACAATTCCAAGGTAGAAAAATCTTTGCCATTAACATTTTGATTTTCCATCTGGTGATCATCGTTATTATAAGATTCTCCGATTTCCTTATCTTCCTTGAGTTGATTATTAACAGGATCATTTTTCGTTTCACTTTCCGCTTCATTATCTTCCAAATCGGTAATCATCTTTTGCGTTACATCCGTTTTAACTTGCTGCTGCTGCTGCTGCTGTTGCTGCTGCTGCTGCTGTGGTCGAGGTCGAAGTGCCCGCAAACGAGGCGGTCTTCCTGACATCTTCAAGGAATTTCTTTTGCTCCCATATACACGTCGACGTTTCCTTTTATCTATCGAAACAAACATTCATTTATTCGATTCACTTCGCCAAGGTTTATTAAAAATGACTAATAAACAAGGATTATCACGGAGTTATAATTCACCTTAGATCCACATCTCTAACAAGTATTAAACGAGAAGAGATACCAAAATATTCAATTAAGTATCGGTCTATTCATTGAAATTATTTGACTATTCATAAAATCACAAACTTGTACTTAACGATAAATATTTAAATAATATCTTTAAAATCATAAAATATATTTTCGATAAAATAATATTTATTACTAAATCATTGATTCTCACGTTTTTATTGATGATGTATCGTAGGTGTCAATTCCGGAAGTACCGGTAAAATATATCGAACCCAATGAGCCGCCATTTTTTTTTCTTGGCTCGTCAACAATCTGGCTCAATATTAAGATACGACTAACTACGATTGTAATGTTAAATTATGACCAATTATTTATTCCAATATCACTTTTAATTGATTATGTTTAAACTCGAAGATTAATGAAGAATTTTTTGATAATATTATGTATTTTTTAAAATAAGGAAATATTTACGAATACGAAGAGACGACTTACACGCAGGATATACATCATTAGCGTTAGTCCCACGTACGCCATTTTATATATTATTCGTATATACAACTGCGTCTGTATTATCTTGTCACGGTTAGAAATCTTCTTCTTTTTCTTTCTACTATTACTTATTATCGTTTTATTTATTCCCCTAGGTCAATTGTATCATGAATCATAACGGAATTTACTCTGTCAGACGTATCGCAAATTCAATTTATACGTAAGGAATCATCGACATAAAAAAGAACATTATATTCTCTTTTCATAGACGCGAGTAAATCTATTAAGACTCCTATTGAAAGGTAATTCTAATAACATACATATGTTTTTGTATACCTCAACAATATTGTACCGATATTGTTTTATTATTCGTCGATAAATTCATTGTATATAATATTCGTTTAGCAAAAAAATAAATAGGTGTTGTATACAAAGTCATGACTAAAAACTTTTGTAAATAAATAAATAAGTAAATACAAAATAGTTATTGAATATAATATTGTTTTACTTGATCAAAAATATAAGATAAAAATCAATTATTTAATATCAATGTTAATTAATTTCTGTCGTTGACGAACTCGTCTCTTGTTAGAAAAGTATAAATATTTGGTATTGTCATTAAGATGGCCATCAAACTTTAAACGCATAGATATATATAAAAATATTTCTGATGGCATCAAAACGCTCGATAGAGTAAACGTTTACTTTTTCTCTAGATCCACCGTAGTCTAAAACTTTATATAAAACAAAAGAACCTAAATGCGAATTTATCGATTAAACGATCTAAATATAATAGAGTCGATTGTATATAATAAAAATAAAAAATACGTTTATCGACGCGTCGACTTTTCCTCGATACGCACTAGCGATTAATGCATAAATATGTTAAATAAAAAAAAAGATACGAGCCTTTAAATAAAATGGCGAATAGAACTTCCGTCAATATACGCGAGGTAGTAACACATCCATTGACTTCCGGTGACAGAGATGATCTTCGATGAATCAAACGGAAGGAAGGAAGAAAAGAAGGAAGGTAGGAAGGTAGGAAGGAAGGAAGGAAGGAAGGAGTCCATGTTAGGTAGAGGATAGTTTTAAAAGGACAAATATCGAAGGTGTAACAAATATGAAGGATGGATAAACGAACAGATGTAATTAAACAATAAAATGATTTAATAAAATAGGGATCTGGCATTGGAGATATTAGTGTTATTTGCTAGTTGAAAGACAAACCTTTCGGCGCCTCCGTCGTTGTTTCGAGTAAGTTTCCTTCCAATCAAGTGACAGTTCCAGCTACAACGATATGGTGATCGACGGCTACGAGTACGGCATACGATTATATCGGCCAAATGAAAATAGCTTGTTTGGTTCGGCCGGTTGACCGATCTGAACCGATGTTGACCGATGTTGAGAGACTAGATGAGACCTCTGCTGAATTAACAACAGCCTCTTCGAAATCGTGTCTTCGCAAAATTACGTATACCAGCGTGCATATACGACGGCGAAAGACTCGATACTCTGCTCGCTCGAGCTGACGTATCGTGCCTTCGTAGGATCCCTTCTCTCTCTCTATCTTTTCCGCCCTCCTCTTCTCTCACTCTCTCTCTTTTTCTCTCTCCCTCTATCTCTCTTACACTCTCTCACACTCCTCCCTCTCTTTTCCACCCCTACTCTTATACCTCGCTCTCTCTTTCTGTCCCCCTTAACCTCTTCTTCGCAAGATTTCGATGGTACCGACAATATATATATATATATATATATATTTAGTCCAATTATATACACACACTCTCTCAAACTACTCCTAATAACTATTACTTCTTTTTTATTAACATTTTATTCTTTGTTTATATTTCCGTTTACTTTTAAAATTTATTAAACAGTATGTTTATATAGATATCTTTAATACTAATTTAATAAAAAGCTAAATTAATAGGTTAAGTTACTCCATACTGTGGAGAGGTGTACTATTTAACATTATAAGGCAATTTAATATAGGTTTACATGCATATTATTTTTGTATGTTTATCTTTTTTTAAGATATAATAACGAATATTATTTTTGTGTATAATAAATCTACATTAAATTCAATGAATACTTGAGTGATTAAAGAAATAATAACAAGTGTTTAAAATGTTCTTCTAAAAACAAGAACTTTTCTTGCAGAACGAATCGACTCGCTCGTAGATGCTGATGGCACAATATTGTAAGCGTGGCAAACCAGGCGCCATCTGCAATTCTTCTTTCTGGTTTCTATAACCGGGACCGTGTTCCTTTTGCTTCTGCTGAGCGTTCGATGGCTCCTGTTTACATCGCCATTATAGACTGCCACCTATATACCTGATAAATTATTATCCTCAACTTTATAAGAATTATGTTTTACAAAAATTAATATATATATATATTATTATTTTATACTACTTAGAAATCGTCCCTTTTATTCATTATCTTGCAATTAAGCTCGTTGCGTCCAAAGAAGTGGAAAGGAAGTTTCATAAACACGAAATGGTGGTAGAGAAAGAAATAGAGAGAGAGAGAGAGAGAGAGAGAGAAAAGGGTTAAAAAGAAAGGTGTGACGATTTGCTTATTTTGATTTTTTTATTATTTCATTTTTCGCTTAAAAATCTTTTACGTTATATATAAATATATTGTTCTTTCCTTACATCGCATTGAATATCAACCTTGTGAATTTATCACAAATTAAATAAAACAATTAACTAGATTATTTGGAATAATATACTATCGAATATTTTAATAATAACTACTTTATTCCACTGTTCTTGAAATAATAGGTAATCATAAAAATATTATTTGAATCTATCATTATAATTAGTTTTTTCTTAATTATTGGAAGAAACAGAATATTTGCTTTATAATTTCGTAAAAAGACACATTATAAGTATTTCATTATTTATTCACATTATTTAATTATTTGCACATATGTCAGCAGTTATGTCCGTTAAATATGTAAATAAATAAATACATCTGTAAGAAATTAGAAAAAAATAATTTATCGAAAAATCATCATGACGCAGTTATTTCTCGTTACAGGTGTTTATCATACAACAAATAATAAATAAAATTTGTTTACAATTTAAATTAATTAACAATTAGTATTATTAATTTTGCAAAATGATTATATTTTTTTTTAATTATAATTAATTCAATATTTATAAATTTAATATTATTTCATATAAAAATAAAAGTGGTTTAAGTATTTAAATATATTTTAAGAATTTATCAATCATGTAATTTTCTACATTATCGACTACAAATATTATTAGCAAAATTAACAGTAAAAATTAAATTAAAAGTATATTATCAAAGAATAGAGAGAAGTACATGGAAGCTCATAAGTCCACTTTTTTCTTAACAAGATTCATCTTAATTAGTACCTTGACTACCAATGGACGATAGTAGGTACTTATGCGATGAATATGAAATAAAGGACACAGTATTTTTTAATAGTGTACCGTTTTTTGATAGTATTGTTCTGTCATCGCATAAGTATCTATTATTGACAACTGGTGGTCAAGGTACTAACTAAGATGAATCTGGTTAGGAAAAAAGTGGACTTGTGAGCTTCTGTGTACTTCTCTACTCTTTGATATTGTGAACGATTTAACTCGATCGATAATTGTATTGATATAATTGATTGTATCAATGAAGTTGTAAATAATTATTAATTACATCAATTAAAATAGATACTTCTATTATTGAAAATGAAATAAATAAAAGTTATATGAATATTTCAAATATTTCAAAAGAAAATGCACAAAAGAAATGAATTTTCTTTTTGAAAAGTTTGTTTAAATACAATTTTGTGCATATTTGCAATTACGTGAATCTACTATATACATGAAATATTTAAAAATAAGACTATTTAACATCGTATCATTCAAAGTAGAAAACAAATAATTAATATATACAACTAAAATCTTATATATTTGAATAAATAATATTATCAATGTTGTTCTATTTATTTTGGTTGATTACGTTATCATGTAGCAGCGTTGCAAAGCCGAATTTTCTTTTAATAATAGTAGATGATTTAAGAACAACTTTGGGATGTTACGGGGATCACAATTCACATACACCAAATATAGATCGCTTAGCAAAACAAGGCATAATTTTCTCTCAGACTTACGCACAGGTGGTCAGCATGAAATATTTTCTCGTCAAAATGAGTATTCTTCAATTTGTGTTATATTAAATGATTGTATTTAATTTTAGCAAGCTTTATGTGCACCCAGTAGAAATTCAATATTGACAAGTAGAAGACCGGATACATTACAGTTGTATGATTTTTATAATTATTGGAGAAATACAGTTGGTAATTTTACAACGTTACCAGAACATTTAAAAAATAATGGATACAATACTATGTCAATAGGGAAAATATTTCATCCAGGTAAAATTATTAAGTTTCTGTTGTTGAAAGCTTATTATACAAATTTCTATGTTTAATCATAATATTTGTAGGTATAAGTTCTAACTATTCTGATGATAGTCCTTATTCTTGGAGCGAAAAACCTTTTCATCCTTATACAAATCGTTATAAGAATGCACCTGTGTGTAAAATTACCAAAAACTCACTTCCTGCAGAAAATCTTGTAAATACCATATATAAATTTGATCTATAAATTAAATGTCATTATTTAACGATTTTTATTTATAATACTTCAATGTGTATTCTTTTTAGGTTTGCCCAGTGGATATAAAATTCATGCCAAATCAAACATTGCCAGACATAGAAATATTGAAAAAAGCTAAGAGATACTTAAACATACATAAAAATGATGCTAAGCCATTTTTTTTAGCTGTTGGCTTTCAAAAACCACATATTCCTTTAAAATATCCTAAAAAATATCTAAGTAAAAAATATATTTGTAAAATGTATTCAAAAGATGATTTTAATATGAAATTTTATATATCAGATTAATAAATAATATTAAATTCATTTATAGAATATCATCCACTAGAAAAGTTTGATGTTCCTAAGCCATATGCTTGGCCAAATAATACTGATAGCGTTTCATATAATCCATGGATAGATCTTCGCAAAAGAAAAGATGTACAAAAGTTACGTCTTAAATTTCCATGGGAAAAAATACCAGGTATAATATAAATTGTTTTCTCTTTCTTAAATATATTAATTAAAATGACAAACATCTATTTTTGATTATACTTAGAAAATTTTGCCAAACTGATAATACAATCATATTATGGAGCTGTATCTTATATCGATGACATTATTGGTAAACTTATTTATCAGTTGCATATTTCTAAAATTCTGCAAAAAACTGTGATTATATTAACATCTGATCATGGTAAACAAAATGTTAAACTGTATTATTAAATGCAAATTTAAAATACTCTATAATAAGTTCTTTTAATTATACAGGCTGGTCTTTAGGAGAGCATGCAGAATGGGGCAAATACAGTAACTTTGACGTTTCAGTGCACGTACCTTTAATAATATCGATACCTTATATGACATTTAAGGTATGTAATTTTGATGTGTATTTTGTTTATATATCAACATTTTTTTTTTTTACGTTTATCACAATCGATAATATTATCAGCGGCGTTTATCAATTATTATATCGATCTGTCGGTATCATTATACATTTCAATTGTTTATATTGTTATCATCTTATTTTTCTTATTATGTTTATAAATTTGTCATTAGAACATTATATTTATTTAAGAAAACTAAAGAACATTTGACTGAAAATGACGTTAATACTGCTGGTAAATTTATATTTCCATATGAAGGATATACACAGACAAATTTAAAGAATTCTTTAACTAAAGAAAAAGGAGATACATTTTTACAATATAAAAATATTTACACGAAAACAGGTAATTTAGAGAAATACTTTATTGAAATAATATTAATAAAAAGTATTAGAAATTTTAAACAAATTGTTATTTTTTTGATAGATGCCATTGTAGAACTGGTTGATATATTTCCTACAATTGCTGAATTAGCAAGAATCCCAATACCAATTTGTTCCAATATAGAAAACAGATATAACAATAATAAAAAAGAATCATCGGTGTGCACGGAAGGAGTTAGTCTTTTACCACTTATCAGAGCTGTTTTGGATAACAAAGTAAGGATCGATTGTATTATGAGAGAGTTATTCATAAATGATAGTTTTATTATAATTTTATTTATAATCTTAGATAATATCATGGAAAAAAGCAGCATTCAGTCAATATCCAAGACCAGGGATAGAACCTACATTACATCCCAACAGTGATGAGCCATGTTTGAAAGAAATAACTATAATGGGATACAGTTTGAAATCACGTGAGTACAGATATACTGCTTGGATACCATTTATATTCAAAAACAAAACGGTCGATTGGAATATAATAATTAGCGAAGAATTATATAATCACAATGATGATTCAGCAGAGTATTTCAATTTAGCGACAGCTCCAAACTTTGTAAGAACAAAAATTGAATTAAGAACTTTGCTTAAAAATGGTTGGAGAAAAGCCTTGCCGGATTATTATTACAGACAATAAAAAAACAAATAATTTTTAATATATTCTTCTAAAATATTTGAAGGAAAAGATTCAAAAATAATGACTTTTTTTTCTTACTTTGCATTAAATAGAAATTAGAATAAATATAACACATATACTTGTGTATATTTCATAAAGTAAACATAATCTAATAGAATTATATCTAGTACAATACTTCAATGAAATACGTAAAACGATAATTTTTAATAATGTAACGTGTTGTTAGGTTGCTAAAATCAATCAAATAAACTATATTTGTATGGAATAACTGAAAATCTAATTTATTTCATTGTACAACATTTAGAAAACTATCACTCCTTTCATGCAATATTAGTAGTATTGAATTATAGAATAATCATAACTTTATGTAACATTATGTTATGTTTTTCTACATGTAATAATACTTTTATAAATACAAATATGCTCGATAATAAAAAATTATTAAAAACAAAGAAAAGAAAAATAATTCATTAATATAATGACAGTTTTCGATTATAAAGAGATTCTACTCAAAGAATCAAACTTTTTATTTCATTCGATTAACGTTTTCATTTATACAGAGTATATGAAAGTGAACATTAATTATTTAATAATTTTTTTATAATCAATTAATTCGTGTCACAATAATCTTTAGAATAATTACTTCGAATAATAAAATACCACTCGTTTTCGCTCATTATTATATAAAACACACATTCAGATGATTTCTTTTTTCATTTTCATCAATCTAAAGACACGATTGATTTTTATATTAGCGTGAATAAACTAAATAAAAACAATTAGTTTGATTCTTTGCTATTTATACTGAAGAATATAGTTTACCTAATTAGAAAGACAGTTATAAGATATTATTTTAAGGATCATTCTTCTTGTTCCTTATTTGTTGGAATATTTGAAGTTTTAGCAGACGTTTCGGTTGCTTTTGCTGGTTCTATCGTAATCTACATAATTTTATAAAAATATCGATGATCACACATACATACATAACAAAATAGATTTCATTCAAAGTTCATATGAAATTTTTTTTTTTACCTGCGAAATCTCATTCCTAGGTTGAACATTACTGGTTGAAGGTTTTGGATAAGCATACGGATTGATTACTCTAATTCCACTCTTTAATTGTGTATTAGGTACGTATGAAAATGTGTTGTTTGAGTTATTTACTACTTGTTGATTTTGTAGCAAATGTTGTCTCAACAAATTCTGGTTCATCTATAAAAGCAATAAGAAAAAATTCAAGTAAAATGTGATTCTACTTGATTCAGAACTTATTGTTTTTGACATTATGACTTAACTTTTATATTTTAATAATAATAATTATATAAAATTAAGAACTTACTGCTGTAGTTGTTCCCAATGTAGTACTTTTCTGTATATTCTGTATATTCTGCATATTCTGCATATTCTGCATATTCGGCATATTCTGCATATTCTGCATATTCTGTAGATTCAATTATAATGTTAAAACATTTGTTACTAAAATATTATTTAAAAAATGATCGCGTAGAAACATATAGACGTATAACACACAGCAGATAAATACACACCTGTGCAAGAAGAGGATTTCTGCTAGGTTGAACCATAGCCTGTTGTTCCCAATAATTATACATATCCAGCAAGGCTTTAGTAGTCATAAATTTACGTTGTTCCGGTGTTGCATTAGGATACTGAAATTTCATTTAATATCAATACTATCTATTTATGATGTTTATAAGAAAATATAATATATATTTTATTGATTATAACTTACATCTTTTTCAATAAGTTTTTGTAGATTTTCATAATCATTAGTGTGCGTATTAGCATTTATTGCTATATTTTGACGATTAAGATTAGCTATCATAGTATTGTATTGTTGCAACAAAATATTATTTTGATAAGCTGCAGTATTTGCATTAATATTTGGCCTTCGTTTTTCTTCTTCGTATTCTAACCAAGCTTGTTTCCTTTCCTCTTCATCTAATTCTTCGTCAGCCTTAAAAACACACAGGTTAAAAATAATATTAGAAATTAAATATCGATTAAATATCGATTTTATGCAAATATTATAATTTTACCTTATTTTCCAATAAGGAATCATGCTCGTGATAATTTTCAACTAACTCCTTGTAGTTTGAAAATATTTCTGCCAACAATCTATCCTTAGGTAAATTTAAAGTTGGTTTATCGGTGTTCGTATGTGGCTCGAATTTATACAATTCATTAAGAGCATTATGACTATAATGTCGTTCTATTTGTTGCTCGTCAACGACACGACAGGAAAGTGATAATTTTGTTACTTGGCGATTATATATCTTTTCTTCCATCGTACCCGACGCAAGAAATCGATAAACGTAACACGGCTTTTTTTGACCAAATCTACGTTTCAAATATAAAATTATCAAATTATAGGATTAATATTATTTAAATGAAATATTTGAATATAATAAAATACCTGTACACTCTGAATATACTTTGGATATCATGCGACGGGTTCCAACTTGCGTCGAATATAATAACTCTATTAGCAGCTGTTAAATTTATACCCAAACCACCTGCACGCGTTGATATGAGAAATAATCTTGCCCTTGTATTGCTGGGTTTATTAAATATTTTACACCAAATGCTTCTATTTTCTGCAGAAGTTTGACCATCTAATCTGAAATAATCTAAACCTAAAGACCAACTTCCAGTGTGCCCCTCTAATCTCTGTAATATCCTATTGTTTTGTTCTGCTTCATCTATTTGAGCAAGGAACTGTTCGATCAACGTTAAAGAATATAACGACTGAGAAAACACCAATCTAAAAATATATGATTATAAATATAACATCTTTCCAATAAAATTTATAATACGAACTTACACTTTATCGCCAATTTTTTCACATTCTCTTAAAATACCAAATAATAGAACAAGTTTGGTAGAAACTCTCATGTCTTCGAAGTGTTCAGGCTGCACAAATTGCGACCACCATTCTTCTTCTTTTTCTGGTGATACTTCTACTAACTCTGGCTCTGAATCATGGTCTGAAAAAAAAAAAAAAAGTGAAACAATTACATTCAACAAAAATAGTGCATAATGATTGTTTATGTTAAAAACTTATCCAAACCATTATTTCGAGTTTTTCGTTTGCGAATAGGCGATGCAGAATGGATGGATTGAACATCGCTATCACTATTACTGCTACTAGTTGTCTCTTCTTCGTCGTCTGAGACAACGAAATTTTTTAATGATCCTTCCGAATCACTGTTATATCTTTTTTTTTCATTAGCCTTTTCAACTTTCTCCGAATTCAATTGCAAAACTACCGGATGAGTCCATATTCTTTGGAGTGCTTGAAAATCTGCGAATAGGGTACCTTTCACACCACTTGATTGTCTAATAAAAATACAATTATTCAAGTTACTACAAAGTAATTGGATTAGAATTATATCTTTCTAAGTATTACTAAAATATATTTGTATTAACATATTAAGGACCGCTCACGAGTTTTTTCGTCTTGTGCATCCCGTTTGTTATTTGTATTGTACAATTTCTATAAATTTCGTAAAAATTAATTTTTTTCAGTAAAAAAGTTAAAAAATACCTAAATGCATCCTATTATATAATTTTGGGAAGTTTAATTTTAGGACGAACAAATTTGCCCAAAAAGGTGTATGTCTTACAGATATTTCCTTGCGATCCTTAATATGTTATATTAATTAAAATAATGTACGATATTGATATACCTTGTCAAGTTGTCCAAATAATATTGATACAATTTGATCTGTACATCCGTGAGTCTAACAAAAATAACATATTCTTGTTTAGGCGGTAAAAAGGGCGTCAATACGGAGTAATCAAATCTTTGAATACTTCCTTTTAACAATTTGTGCAATACATGAGCACGTTTTTTCATTAATTTAACATCGTATTCTGTTGAATTGTCAAATTGTCCATTTGTTATAGGATTGACGAATCTGTTTAAGAATTCTCGTTTCGTACCCAAAAGATTAGGCTTAACGAATTGAACCATGCAATGATCTGAAAAATGTGTGTGCTTTATGTTATTAAATAATATCAAATTAAATCATTTTAAATTATAAAGATATAAATCCTTACACTCTATTAAATTATTTTGTAATGGTGTCCCAGTGAGGACAATACGTCGAAGCGTTTTAACTCGTTTCATACTTTTACTAATCGCAGTATCTTCGTTTTTCAATAAATGTCCCTCATCACATACAATAAGATCTGGACCAGGATCTATCAAACATTTTAATATCGCATCTTTCATGTTCTTTCGAATATTTTTATTTGCACCAGTAAGATTACGAAACATTTCGTATCCAATAATTAAAACGCCACCTCTTTGATGCCAACTTTGAAGTTGATACTTTCTTTCAAAGTTCTTTTTACATCTAAAAAAAAAAAGAAGATACACGATTAAATTATATTATTATTATTAATACGTAGAATAATTTAATGTTATATGTACATGATAAAACATATGATTAAAAATAAGCAGCTTACTTTGTTAATTCGAACAGGTCGATATCTCCTCCGTTCTCTACATCCTTTAGCCAAATCTCGAATTCATTAACCCAATTAAGAACGGTACTAAGAGGACAAACTACTAAGATAGTTTTTATTCCAGTTTCCTCGTGAGTTAAAAGAGTATGCGATAAAGTAATTACTTGTAGAGTCTTTCCAAGTCCCATACAATGCGCAATAATGCAGCCCGATCCAGAAGTAGTTTTGATTCTTTCCAAAGATTCGAAGCACGCATCCCACATAAATTTAATTCCCTCTGCTTGATGCGGTTTCAAACGTTTGACTAAATCCTTATTTACGCTTACAAGTTCTTGCTTTGTATCGGGATCAAAATCCAATACTAATTTATCTACTTTTTCTTCACCGGCTAATCGTATCTCATACATCTCATTGTACTAAACATGAAAATCAATGTTATAATATATACTAGAACATCTTTCATCATATCGTCAAATAATTATCATCGAGCTCTCAGTAAATTATTTAAATAGGACGATACATTCTGCATCCATATAAAAAAAAAAAAAAAATACATACAAGTTTTTGACGTTCCATAATACGTTTCAACCTTTCCTCTTCCTCTTTGGCTGCTTGTTTTGTATCATCCGCTACTTGTTTATCTTTCAAAACTTTGCGAATATTTTTTCTTCCAGTTTTACTCGACGTACCTTGCGAATTATTCATTTGATCACTATCACTATTACTATCTGTTGATACATTCTTTATTCGCCTTCTTTTTGGTTTAGGTCTGAAAAATTAGTACAAGAAAATCAATACAAAAAAGTTTTTCAACAATTTTCATAGATTTTTTGTTAAATATGCATGTCCATATACTTACTTATTTCCTGTAGTAGATGAATCACTGTCAGATGATTTTTTTGAACTTTGTTTTTTCTTCTTTTTTTTCTTTTTTTTCTTCTCTTCGTCAGAGTCATCAGAACTACTTAATATCATAACTTCGCTCGAACTACTACTGCTACTACTACTACTATTATTACTGAAAGGATCTGAAATTTCTTTGACATCTGAATCAGAATCAAAAATTCTTCTAGCCTTTTTCCTTTTGTGTTCAGTTTTAACATCAACGTTATCTCTGAAATTCAATTTGTATATTATTTATATTTTTTTCAAGATATTATTTTACAATTCAATAAGAATAATAAGAAGACATTATTTCATTACTTGTCGTCATCTTCTTCCTTTTTTCTTTGTTTTTCTTGCAATTTATCCCATTTCTCTTGTTCTTTTTCAGACTCGCTATCAGATATTCTCATTGTTAATATTTTATTTCGTCTCCACTTACTCCGTTTTTTCAGCTTTTTCTCCTAATTAATTGTTTTTGTTTTTGTTTTGCTTATTATTTGTATTGCGTGCATTTAATTTATTCTACTATAATAACATTGAGAGAATGCAGTTACCTTCTTTTCCGTAGATGAACTTTTGTTATCTTCTTCAGAAGGCTCTTCTTTTTTAATTTCGTTTTTCTTGATACTTTCATTCTTCTCTTTTAACGACTCTTTCTCTTCTTTGTCTGATACACTTGACTGTTCTTGTTCTTTGCTATCATCTGTATAAATTACAATTAATCGTAAGAAAGTTTATCGTAATAAATATAATATAATATTTAATAAAAGAAATATTTTACCCATATCAGAGTCAGACGAATTTAATAGTAAATCTTTAGCAATTTTATCAGCTTCTAATATAAGATCATCATTTGTTAATATAGCAGAATGATTTTCTACTAATGAATTTAAATTTTGCTCGTTATTATCAGAATCGTCTTGCATGTCTATGGAAGCGCTTCCATCTTGTACCTTCTTCAAATGTTCTAATAAAGAATCTTCTTTTTCACTAGATGATATTTTTGTTTTTAATGATTGGAAAGATTTAGATAGATTATCTTCTTTTGAAGTAACTGAACTCCTCTTATGTGGTAGTTTCTCCAGTGTATCCAAATTTATAAGTCTATGTAAGATCGTTGAAATAAAATTATATTTGATAAGCAAATAAGTTTATGGAATTTTTTATTATAAGGAAATGAACACTAAAAACTACGTCGGCTCATTGGCCGGTCTAACATATCAACAATAAAATATCAAATTATTTATTTATTAAAAATTACACAAATAGAGATTGGATTTGAAAATAATAATAATAATAATAATAATAATAAAACCCGTGGGGTGAGCAGATAAGAATACTCTCTCAGTAATCCCTGTATGTTGTAAGAAGCGACTAAAAGGGAAACCGAAAAAATAGAGACAAAAAATAAAAACAAATGCTTCAGAAGAGGGCCGCTGCCTGGGATTTGCCAGGGCATGTTTGGAGCCGGTGTTGGGTATAACAATGACCAGGCCACGGGTGGTAATGATCGAAGTGGGCTAGACATTGCTGGGAAACTTGAAGACACAACAGCACACACTGACAGAAAACACAAACCCGACTTTGAATGCTTTGTGAGATCAACCCACAACCATCAAGGAAGGCAAACCAAGAAAAGACTTACAAAACTGCTAAACTCCAAACTGTGTCGGCTAAAAACCTTATATGAGCCGCATATTTTGAAAGTGGCTTAACTCTGTTTATGTTCGAATCGAGATATTGAAGGGTTTGAATTACAATGCAATGAAAAATATACGTACAAGATACTAACGAGTTATACTGCTTAAGTGTATCTAAAGATGTTAAATTTATATTTCTTATTAAAATAGTGGCAATTATTAAGTGAATAATATGCGTTTTCTAACCCAGAATGTTGTTAGACCATTTTCAAAATTAACAATCTGATTTGTTATAAAACTTCGAAGCAACTCAACTCCATTCAACATAATTTAGCATGCTTTCAAATTGAAAAAAAAAACCAATACTCGATTTATTTTACATATATTTAAAACACTTTAGAAACATAATTTGTACGATTCAAAACATTTTTTAACTACATAACGTGCAAAATTACAAACATAACCTACAAAACAATTGACTACTCATCTATACTTTCTGTGTGTGAAAGGGATTTGAAGAAATCATGATGTTTCAGTGGTATATATATCGTAATAGGTCAATTATGTCCTTGAATTTTGCTGTTGCAATTTATTTGATATTTTATATAGTGGTGTCAATAGAATATTTTCGAACTTTTTTCGTCTACCCCGACGTGCTAATAAACTCAGGACTTTCACATTTTCATTCTCATTCATTGATATTTTATAGAAAATTTTATACGATTTATTTATTTCTGACAAAACACATCCAACATATTTTTAACCAGTTTATTGATTTTTCATCAGAATTCTTGACCCTTTTAAAAATTACGTCTTCTAATAATTTTGTTACTACAAAATCTTGTCTCATTTTATTTACAATAAATTATTATTGTATTTACTCGGAATATGTGCAACCTCAAATGCTTTATTAACACATTCGCGACCGCTGACGTGAATTCACGTCTTTTCAAGTTCTATTCCTAATTAAACACTGACATGAAATTCACGTCATTTAAAATTTTAAAAATTTATATTTAAATAATTATATTTTATTATTTAAATATAAATTTAAATAAATCATAATTTTTACCGGTACTCAGTATTAAAAAAGGAAAAAATATGCCGGTCGCAAATGTGTTAATATATAACATGAAGTTGTACAATAACCAGGTGCAACCAGAAAATAAATGACGAATGGAGTTAAGCCACTTTCAAAATAAGCGGCCCATATCAGCTATCAACGTGTGGGCTGTACCATTACTGGTCTATTCGATTCGTTTGTCTTTTTCGCGGGGCCCAAATCCAACTGTCGGCGCGCCGTAACGTAAACAAGCGATAAGCAATAAACAATGTAACACGGGTATTATAGTTATATTATGATATTATTATTACCATTGATTTATCGTAAAGAATTTTGTTTAGAAATTGGGGAATGTGGTAAGTTCTTTGGCTAGAGGACTACCTGGTATTTCACTGCAGTTTTCTCAGATCCTTTTTTATCCTCAAAATGTTTATTAGATGACAAAAGTATAATTGAAAGTGAGGAAAGTAGTGATGACGAAGTAGTCAGTTTTAAAAGAAAAGTTGTAAATAGAATGTCATTGAGTTCAAATTCCAATACTGAGAAATCATATGCTATTGAAGACCTTGACGACATGTTGGATGAACTTGCTACAAACGAAGAAGAGAAACTGTACTCTGTTGATGATTCATTGGACAATATACAGTAGAACGAATTCGCTAACAGGCAACAGTCATTTCCGTTTACTGGAAAAGGTGGGCTTCTGATGGATTTGCCGTCTGATATTAGTGCAAGTGAAGTGCTTTCGCTATTCTTAGACGAAAAAGTGATAAGCCTTTTAATCACAGAGACTGATAGATATGCAGAGCAAAAATTGCATCAACATGAAAGAACTGATCATGCTCGACAGAACAGATGGAAACCCACCACTTTTGAAGAAATTACAAGAGTTATCGGCCTGATGATTTGAATGGATTTGATACAGACATTGCTCGTTAGATATTGATCAACGGACCCTATATACAATTTTCCATTTCCGCGCAACAAGATGTTCAGTAATCGTTTAGAATTTCTGTTATCAAAGTTACATTTTTGGTGAAATGATAGCACGAGAAGATGACAACGGTATTGTGGTGATAAAATGGAGGGATGTTCGCGATGTTAGAATGTTATCAACAAAACATGTACCTATTATGATTTCAAGCTCGGATTTTATTCACCTCGGTCGTTCTCCAAAACAGAAATCCCTGGCGATATTAGCGTATAATAATAGGAAAACTGGCATTGACAGAAGCGATCAATAGTGTCATAGGTCACAACGATACGGACAAATATCAAGTGGTATCGAAAATTAGCACTACATTTGCTTTTAGGAATAAGTATAGTAAATGCACACATAGTGTACCAGAGAGCCACAAATAAAAAAATTCTTTATTCCATTGGGATAAGCTGAATTGCTTCCCCAATGGTAAAATAAACCAACTAAAAAAGCTTTGATCTCAAAAGAAAAGCAGAATAATAATAATAATAATAATAATAATAATAATAACAATAATAATAATAAAAATGATGATGATGATAATGATAATAATAATAATACAAAAATGATGCATTACAAAAATTCGAGATGTTATTAAAAAAATATGTATAAACAATAATTAGTACCTGTTGATTTTCTTATTATTTTGGTATTCCTTCGATTCTTCCAACGCGTTTTTATATTGATTTAAAACATCATCTGTTAATAATTCTAATTGTACATGACATATCATTCTCAATTTTTTATCATTCATGTAATAAAAATTCTTATTTAATTGAAGTCTTCTTCTTTTGACTCTAGATCCTACAGATGTGTCTGATTCAAAATCGTAATTACGTTTTTTCCCAAGTTCTTTTTTCTCAGATTTAATATTATTCATCTGAATTTGCAATTTAGGTAAATCTTCGGATTTTGTACTGTCGTTGTCGAATGTTGTCAACTGAAGTTTATTTAAATCTTTATTTTTAGATTCCATGTTAATTTCCACTTCTTTATTGTCTGATGAAGAAACGTAATCGTCCGAATCAGATTCCAAAAGAGCATTTTTAATACTTTCTTCATTATTAACCTCATTTTCTCCGTCCAATATGTTTGTTTCTACAGAAGAGCATTTCTCTTTTATATGATTTTCACTGTTATGTTGTGCGACGTTATCCGATGTTAGTTCCTCAATTGTATTCAAATTAGACAAAACTACTGTACTGTTGTCACTATCGTTATTAATATCTGTTATTTCTTTAGTTATGTTAGATTTATTTTCGTCAATTGACTTAATCGGATCTTTTGATTTGTTTGATACTTTTTTTGAATTGAAAGGTTTATCAGAAATATTAGAAGTATCTGAATCGCATTCATTAGAACCTTGTTTAGCGAGTGTTTTTGATACTTTTTTATTAGGTTTATGGATATGAAATTGTTCAGTGGTATATTCATTAAATACAGTTTCGTTCGAATTACTGTCAGATTTATTAGACCCAAATATATCTGGTGTTTTCTTTCGAAATATACTTTCTTTGTTCTGTTCTTCTTTTTCCAACAGATCAAATTCTTTTTTATCTGATAATTGTACATTTTCTTTTGGTTTATTACATTTCCATGTATTCGAATCTTCATTGCTCTCTTTTTGACCTTCATCAATACTCAAATCCTGAATATCTTTATTTTTTTGGACGTTTACTGCCGTTGTATTAGATTCGTTTAATTCATTGTTTAATTCCAAACTGTTATCAAATATATCATTTAACGAATCATTCGTTAGATTAGAAGTAACATTAGATGGTACCGCAGTTAAACGTTTATTTAAAATATTTTTAGATTCTGTATTCGGAATGTTACATTCTGTGACATTCGAGTTTCGGGTTATATTTTTATCATCATTTTCTACACACTTTTTACTATTAATATTATCTTTTATTAGTTCGTTATTTGATAATTTAACCAAAGTCCTTTTATTGTGTTGGTTACTTCCTAATATCGGTGATACATTTTCACTAACTCTTAATTCTTCAGAATCAAGATTTTTTTTATTGTCACAAACATTAGTTTTTATCTTTTCTGCTGGTGCTCTATGTTTAATAGATTCATTCTCTGAAAATATTTCACTATCACAATCGGATATGACATTATTTTTATCTTTTACACTTTTACTGTTGTTTTTATTTATTGTATCACTGGATTTTCTTTTATGAGGTTTCTTGTTTATTAATGTTGTATCATCTTCGGAACTTTTATGTCCTTCTTCCTCTTTAACTGACGATACAAATGTTTTGTAAAAATCATTTAAATGTTCCTTGTAAGTATTGAATTTCGTAATTATTTTATTAATAGCACTTTTTGATTTATATATAATTTTATCTGCATCTTCCACGTACATGGGCTTTCTTCTAAATTTATTTTCGATATGCTGGGCTTGCAATTCAAATACCGAACATTGTTGTTTCAATTCGTCCAAGATTTCTGCTACGTTAGACTTAAAATATTTGGCTTGTTGTTTATTCATGATATTCTCAGAAGAGTACATTTCTATTGGACATGTAATATTTACTGTTGGCGTATAACATGTAGAGCTCCTCTTCAAATGTTGTACGACTGTCGCTGCTCGACCGAGAAAAGAACAAAAGAGAATTGCTAATAGATTTATAAAGAGGGCGTTATGTATTCATGACATTACGAAAAAAGCTTACCAGGGGATGGTAAGATAGGCCCCTTCCGATTTTTTTCAAATTTTCAACACCTGTAGAAGTCAATGAAAATATTCATTGTGCCTTAAACTTTGCGTATATATATATATATATATATATATATATATATATATATTAAGCTAAATAACGCGGATTTTTAAATTTCACACATATACGTATTCCTTTTGTTGAGTAGTGTAGTAACTACAATACGACTCTATTGTGTTACTAAAGTTGCCGATATTTACATCCTATCTCGACAATGAAAAGTATCTTTTTCTTTTGTTTTTATTTTCTTTCATAAAATGCAGTGTATATCGAAAAAACTTATGTTTTGTGTGCTGTACGACGGATATTATAATAATTATATAATTATATATATTGGCGACTTCAGTGAAACACACAAGTGTCTCTATTGTAAACTACTACACTACTATAGCTAAAGAAATACGTAAATATGTGAAATTTCAATTCGTATTTTTTAACAAATGGCTGAATATATACGCCAAGTTTAAAGGTACAATGAATATTCTCATAGATTACTACAAATGTTAAAAAATTTGAAAAAAAATCGAAGAGATTACTAGACCATCCCCTAGTTACTACATATCAAAATAGTTATAGTGAAACACACACTGGAAATATGTAATGCAAATCTTAACACATTGTACGCCGGTGGCATCTGAGACATTTAAAGCGATAATTTGAATGGAAAATCTACGTCGGGATATGTAATCAAAATGTATGGAAATGTAGTCGATTGGAAAAGGAAAAAACAAATGTATAACCAAAGCTTCAACATATATAGAGTATATAGCAATATCTGAGATTGTGAGTGAATTAAAGTATATTAGAGAATTAGATTAGAAACTAATTTATTCCTCTGAAATTCCTTACCAGAGCTAGAGTCAGAATCAATGGAAGATTGCGACATTAAAATTTCTTCATTGGTAGACTTTTTCATGGAACATTTTTTCTTGTTACTTCTATTAAGAAGTATCTTATTTTTATTTTTACTATCATCTCTACCTTCTTCTTCACTGGATTCAGAACTAGACTCAATTGTTTCATCTCTGTTTGAAATCTTATTAACGTTTGCTTTATCTCGTTTACTTGGGCTTCGTTTATGTTTAATTCTCGAGACCGATTCACTTTGGTTGCTATCAACATTAGAACTATACGATGAAGATATTATTACATCTTTGTCTTGTTTCGAAGACTCTTTTCTTTTGATTTCATTATCGCTCGAATTACTCGACGAACTTGTACTACACAATTGGTTTAAAGTGTGACTTTTAGATTTATTACTTTTCTTAGTTGTTTCATTACTTTCCTTTTTTTTAAAGAACATACTGTAAAGAGGTCTATTTTTTACAATATCCTCGTCATCTTCTTCTTCTTTGTCACATATTGATTGCAGGATATTTTGCATTTGTTTAACTCGTTGACTTTGATATTTTTGATACGGTAACCTAGTATCACGCTTCTTGAATTCGTTCTCTATACATTTTGCTTTATTTTTTCTGAAACAGAAGATTAGATTTATTTACTCGTAATGAATATTTTGGGATTGTAAATATGCAATCTAATTAATGAATATTATAAATATTTACTTAGCTAGACAATCCATAATGGAATCACAAACTGCTCGTAATTCCCACAATGGCTTAGGTTCGCAAATGAAACATTTCCAAGATTTTTTCTCTATATCCAAAAGACACAGGGGTGCATTTCTCTTAATGCATCGCTGCAAATTAAATAATGAAAAATAATTGACTATTGAAAAATTCATTATTCTTAATTAAATAAATATATTATATATGTTGAAACTTACTTTGCAAAATGCAAATGTGCAATTAGATGATCCACAATAGAATAAATTGTTTTCGCGAGCACATAAGCGACAATACTTATCTAGGTTGTTGTCTTTATCTAAAGAAAAATTTGTATTGTTGAAATGGTCCCAACATTTCTAATAAAACAAATTTAACATTATTAAAAGTAATAAAGTCATATATTACACAGTACAATATAATATTAACCTCTTATGTTACAGCAATGCATGAGACTCGTGATACACTTTGCAACCTTAACACAAAAAACAAGTGCTACCTATGACAAATTTTATAAACTAAAAATAATTAACACAAAATATAGCATCGACTTTGGCACGTACCTCAATACATTGAATTGTAGTTGTAAGAGGTTAATTGATATCATTTAAAAAGTCTTACTTCACACAACAAAGTACCTATCACAGGATTGGTAAAAATTTTTCCAATTTTAGTAATAACTTTATTTCCACACGCTGTACAAGTTATTTCTCTATCGGCTAAAATCTTGATTCCTAAAATCAAAGTATATAAGCATATAAATATGATAATATTATGATAAATAATGTAATGAAATATAAAATACATGCATCTCTATCATCATCCGAATTATCATGTCTTATTAGCATATACAAAATTATAAGGAAAATTTAACGAATAATATTAATTTGTTATTACAGTAAATAAATAAAAATAAATCTGATTGATGATAAAAATATTTATTTACCATGATAATTTTCGGTACGGTACGCGAGTTCATGAGATGACTTTTTTATTTTTGGCTGTAAACAAATTATTGACATATATACATACATATACATAATAAATTTCACTGCATTGGTAAAGGTTAATCACATTAATAATTACCTCCTTAACCATTCTAATAATTTAAATGAATTACTTTAATGAAAATTAAAAAACATTTTAATCAAACGAAACTATATGAGATTCAATTATAGTAGATTATTCGTACGTTTAAGCAGATATAATTGTTGCCACAACTCTGCACGCCATCTTACGATTCCATGTTACGGGCTTTTTTTTAAATAAGGTTAATCTCTCGCGCATGCGTCAAAGCGTAATAATGTGATGCTGCTATAAAATCTTATTTACTTGTTAGATGTTATTTCAAATAAAAAAAAATACAATTAGAACCCTACCTAAGGGTTAGAAACTCCCACGATTATGATATAAACGCTAAAAAACATCGTAGGTGTTATCTGGACAACCTTAAAAATTATTAATCTTTTGCCATCTTTACAATCACATTGATGTCATCTTAATGATCCAATATGCTGATACAAGTTAACATATAAAATATAAAGATTTCTATATTTATACATACTTGTGTCGTATACAAATGACAATAATAATAATAATAATAAAAATAATAATTAAGATAGTTTATTATCATCTACTATTGCACTTTATTTTCAAACATACAAGTTATACAAATAGAAACACTATACAATACTTATAATGCATTATTCTATTAGAACTATAATATTATACGGAATATAAGTTACATCAAAATGATAAATATATAAAATAGTACAAATTAATATGGAAAGTGAGAAGTCTTATATCTTAAGTGTAAATAGCTGCAGAAGGATGATATTGTTTACAGCGATCGATTACTTATATCGAATGATGTAAATTTGACGAATTTCTATGCGTTAAATTTATTTCACATTAGAAAAATGCCTGCCTAAGGTTTAAATTTGCGCAAATATTTTATTTCTTCTTGTTTTTCTTCACGCTGTAGAATTTATTAAGCAATTTTTTTTTTTAAATCGGTTCGAAATACTAATGATGATTAGTTATCACATTCAAAATATTTTACAGAGATCATAATATACTTTGGTATTATATTTAAAATTTATCGGACCAATTATAGTAACGATGAGTTAAATATTGTATTGATCTACATATGATACGAATGATATTTTATTTTCACAATGACGAGAATAATATTACTATCCTCTCTGTAAAATTGAATGAATTTTGTAAATTTGTAACGTCACAATCGAAAATTTTAATTGAACTAGAATCAATCTCGAGATTCTTCTTTAACTGTGGGTGACAATGTGCGATCATTGTTACCTTCTATATAGTCATTAGAAGTAATATTAGTCTTGTTGGCTTTAAAGTCAGTCTTAAAGTTTCCTTGTTGGGTTTTAGCATCATCTTGAAATACTTCCGCAAAATGAAAGCTATTCCCATTACCAGTCTTTGTATTTAAATTAACATTGTTGATGGAACTGTTAGAATGAACTTCGTTAAAGTGTTTATATAACATTAACGTTGTACTAAATTCTATTTCACATCCAGGTGTTTTGCATCTGCAGTAAAAATAAGTCAAATCGAATTTAAATGTTTAACAAATATTTGGAAAATATTTAAACGTAGGGGATATTACCGAAATACTTCATTATTTTTAGTAGCTTGTATCACCGGAGACTTTGTATTGGCATGATTATCCTGATAATGCTGCCATAGGCCAGTAACATTATTTACTTCTACACCACAACCAGGCATCTTGCACCTAATGGTAACACAAATACGCAAGATCATGTCAGACAAATATTAAATATTTATATATACAATATATATTGTTTTAGATATTAATTCTTACAGGAAAAAGCTAATGGTGGAAGCTCTTCCTTGTTGTTTCACTTTTGGAATACATTTATTGGTATTTGTGCTAGAAGAGTTGGTTATTAATTTGTGACTGTCTTGATGATGACGGTAATGCGATAAGTATTTGTACTTTTTTCCACAACCAATGAAATCGCATTTATATATTTCTTGTTTATACCGAGACATACGTTGTTTCTTTGGCATATATTCTTCGTCGTCCGAACAATTGCTATTAGTTTCGATGGCACTATCTTCTATTTTCGAATTTTCCTGTTCCAATCCGTTTCTAAACACTCTTTCTAAATTTCCTAGATCTATTCTATGTTCTTGATTTTGTAAATTAATATTATTAACTTCGCCTTTGATATTCTTAGTGATCGTTACATCTCCGTTGATGTATACCACATTATTTTTATCTTGAGAATTTTCAACTGGTATCATTTCCCCACTTTTAGAAGGAGCAGTATCATATTTGATTAAAAAATTCTCTTTAGTTATCAGTAAATCCTTATTTTTTGGAAATTTGTTAGTTCTATTTAAACATTCATTATTAATAGAATATTCTTCGTTCTTCGAACTGGCAGTAACGTTATTCTGATCATGACAAAAATCTTTTGTTTGCAATATTGTACTGTTGTGTCTATTAAAAGCATCTCCTTTATTATTGTAATCCATCACATTTAAAGCAAAATTGTCATTTCTTTTTTTATCGTAATTCCCATCCTCACTATTTTGCGTAGTATCTTCCTCTATCGCATTATCAGGACCTTCGAAACATATTATTTCTGGTTCAGTTGGTAGTGTAGAAGGTTGACGATGACAACTTTCTATGTGTTCTTCGAGATTACAACTAGTTGTGTGTACAGAACCGCAATTTGTATAAGGACAAGCAAAAACATTAGTTTCGCTGTTATGCCATTCTTGATAATGACGCCACATACTACCAGGGTCAGACAATTCCTCTCCACATCCTGGTTCGCGACAACTGATGATTAATAATAATTAAAGTAAATTATTATTTTCATTTGAGAGCAAGATCTCTTTCATTATTTCACATTTATCGAGTAAATTAACAATTAATAATGAAATATTAAAAATTATTCTTTATAACAAACAAAATATGAAGAGAAAGATTTATTATATATTTCGAAAAACGTAATTACTTACATAAATCTAATTTTTAAAGCTTCGAGTGCTTCATGTGTTTTATATTCGTCTTGATTGGTGAATATTTTCCCACAACCCCGTTGTTTGCATGTATATACTTCCTGTAAATATTATCTATCAAAATCATTGTTCTTAAAAATAGATTTATTTTTAAGAAAATTTATTTATAAAAATATAAAAAACATATTATATCATTGATATGTATGTATATGACAGTAAATTACATTCATTGACAAAAGAATTCGAATGTAAATTGTTTTGACTTAAGGGTCATTGAACTTACTCGAAAAGACACTAAGTAAGATTTACCTTTTTTGGTGCAATTTCTTCGATTGTATGATTTCTAGATACAAATCTAATAACACTAACTTCAGTAGGTCTATCGGTACACGCTTCTGTTCCCTGTCCCATTGTATCCGCCACTTTGTGCGTAAACAGAATTTATTTCGGACTCACATAACCTATAATCGCGAGCGAACATTTAACATAGAAGAATATCATCTTAGTTGAATGAAAAATCACAAAGATAGAAAATTTTCATATTTCATTGGATGTTTACGATACTCACCAACTAATTGTTAATATAGTTCCGTTCGCGCGGAAACGCGTTTTCGATATATTCACAATTTCATATTATCATTCTGACAATAAAAACAATTGCTTATCATCATGTCAGTGCATATGAACTGACGCGAATACGAAATGTATTGAGGAGACTGCAGCGCTTATTGAAAACCACTGACTTCTCTAGACTTTTGATAACTTTTTTATTTAATTCGAACTATAGATATTGTGAGTATTTTTTTTTTTTTATTTAATTACAGAAATTTATTTAAAGGTGAATATCAACATATATATATATATATATATAGTATTTTAATATAATTAAGATAACGAGATAGAAATTAATTTTAGAAAGATTACGCTGTGCAAATATATAACTAAAAATCAATTTAAAAATGAATTTATGACAATATAAATTTGTATAAATTTGTTATAAAAAGGAAAATGTAATTTATCTTTTTATATTTAAATAAATTTTACAATATTTATAGGAAGTATTTAAAAAAAAAAAATAAATGGATACAATTTAAATTCTTTGTTTTTTGATTTCGAGAATTAAACTTTCATTACATTGTATTTTTTATATTAAGCACTTTAAGAATAACATTGATTTTTATTTTCTTTCGTAATAGCTTAATTAAAATATTGTTATTGTTTATAAGATATAAAATCATAATTTTAATTTAATATTATAGTTACAATAATAATAAAATATCAATTATTCCAAAAATAACACCCATTTCGTATTTTATTTTTTTCACTTTTCCGACAGAGGTCAGGGGATGCTTCTTTATTTTTTTATGATATTGAATTAAGAAGAGAAAATTAAATATTGCTTTGAAATAAGATTAAATTTAATGCTAAAATTCATAGATTTGTGTAAAGGATTTGTCTTTTAAAAAGTACGCTATATTTTTATATATAAAATATCATTCTTTTTGGATATAATTTTGTAAAAATAAAATATTGGAGACATGCGCGCGAAACCGATAAAATTGATGTGGTGGCGCCACTAGCGGATTTCAAGTCAATCATAAGTAATTCGAGTTTCTGATTGGCTGATACATCAGTGCGCTTCTTTTACGACGCTTTCGTTTCTTCTGTTGTCTATGAATGTTCAGTTGCGCGCTTACCGTTGTCGTGAGTGTACAGTGTCTAAAGAAATTTTTCGGTAAATTTTATCGTATTGTATTATTTTTGTAACCCTTGCTTTCTTTCTCGTTCTCTCTCTTTCTCCCTCTCTCTCTGTCTGTCTCTGTCTCTATTTCTATTTCTATTTCTATGTTTTTTCTCTCTTTTTATCGATTTGTCATTATTGTAAATTGAAGAAAAATAACAATAAGAAATTAATTGTAAATAATTAAAGTTAGTTTCAACTCGTATTCGAACATTATAGTGCGAAACTGGATGATCATCGCTATCGAATATTACTTGGAAGAGGTGAGTAAGTTTTATTATTTTTTTTAATTAAAAAACTCCAAAACTATGTGATCAACAAAATGCATTTTTTTTTATTACCATAAAATTGTAAAACTCGTTATTTAGTTTATACATTTTATGTATGATACTTCAGAAAAAGTATTGAATTTTGAAACGATATTCGATGTACATACTTCTTCGAAAAGTTTCGAATTATTTCAATATTATGCAGTTAAATTTTGATTTCGATTAAATGAAAAATACAATTTGTCTCGATTTCTTGATTTTACCAGGTTTGTTGCAATTTTAAAGTATCAAAAGCAGTCGAAATAGTTCTCGTTGCTCTTTCTTGTCAAATAACAATGATATTTTTTTCACACTACATCTTTCGATTGGTAGAAGTTCAAACTGTTATTCCCTGCAAAGAAAGGTAGAATGTGGAACGTTTTTTCAAAGTACCTGTTAGAAATTATACCTTCAACCGTTTTCCCTTTGCTCGTTCGTTCTTTCTTTCTTCCTTCCTTCCTTTCCAATGGTATAAAATCGTTACTTGTAAAATTCTTCTTTTATTTGTATAGATAGAGGTAAATACTTGTATACAAATTCGTCGAAGGAACTTGTAAAAAATGTTCTTTTCAATCGTAAAATCGTATACTTGAAAAAAACATATATTTCATATAGTAAATAAATATATTTATCGGTTAATTTATTTGTAAGATTAAATATAAAAATTATAAAATCGAAAAAACACATTGATTTTACAATTTATTTGAAAACATTAATAATTGTAATATAAAATAAATACACAGGATTAAATTCGTTATTAAGAGATTGTCATCAAGTTGTAGATTTTATTTAGTAATATAAATAATTATGAAATAAAATAAATCATAAAATCAATTTTTCCAATTCTTATGTGACTTACAATTTTAGTCTATTGATATATAATTATCGGTGTTTATATGCTTGTACGTTAGTAATTTAATTGATAGATATTTTCGAAATATTACGATGGAGAAAATCACCATTATTTGTAAAAGGTATAGTATAGAGGTGTATACTAGGTGCGTCGAGACGTCCAGACGTAAATCGATCGATTCTGTACTACCGGTCCTCGAACTCGCACTCTATCTACACATATTTCTGCAGAGTCTATCGACTGAAAATAATATTACTATTTATTACACACTTACACACACGCACACACACATCTAATAGAAAATTAAAATGAAATAATCAAATAAATCAAATTTGGAATTTGAACTTTTTATTATGTTATATATATTAATATTGTTAATTATTAATTGTTAGAAAAATTTGATTCTCTACTTCATAATAATAACTAATTGGTGTCAATGTTGGATTAATTTGCTTTTTTTTATTTTTTTTTTTATCTAATTTGATTTATTTTCTTTTAATATCTGTTTGTATTTGTTCTATAATTATTTCATATAATAATATTGTTACTGTTTGCAAATAATGGCACATATCATGTAAATAGTTTAATAAGAGTTTTAAATTGCAACAGTAAATTGGTTCAAATCAGATGCAGGAAATGTAATTAAATTTGGTTGATAGAAGAACTACGACGATTCGTTTTGTCGAACAAAAACGCGTAATGTGATGTACGTTTATTAAATTATTTAATAATAACTATATATATTCTCTTGGTCAAGTTGAGGAGTTTGTTGCAGTGAGCAATTCCTGACCATGTTTATCAATTTTATTCCGGAAGAGCTATAAAGATACCAAAGAGATAGATTTTAATGGAAAAAATAGATGATATTTATTTAGTTTACACCGGTCGTTTATTCGTTGACAAAATTCATTGCATTCATTGCATTCATTGCATTTTGTTTATGCGAGGAGTAAAAAGGAATTCGAAAGAAAATAGGGCATCCTATTTCTATTAATCTAGATAAGCAATTTTATAATTGTTGATTTTCAGTTGTAAACCTTTTTTTTTATTTATAACAAAAATTCAGCCTATTATTATTATTATTATTAATAATTTTGTGTGTGTGTGTGTGTGTGTGTATTAGAATGTTTAATTCGAATATAAATATTTTCTCAGTACTCTGTTCAATGGTATTTATTATGTTTATTCAGTGGTGAACGATGAGCCGAACAGATCAAGACAAAGATAAAAGTATGGACAAACAGGAAATCGCCGAGGAGGAGAGAGAGAAGATGTTGAACGCTGAGAACACTAAACATACCGGTGCTGCACCTGTACCTGATTTAGAATCTGAAGAACATAAGCCGAAGAAGAAGATACCCATCGGTGGTATCAAGATGCCAGGATTTTGTCGTACCAAGAGTAAGGAACCTTGCAAGGTAAATTTAAACTCCACTTAATACTAATGTAAGATCAAAAATTATCGCATTAAAAAGCTTACACATCGCAAAACTTATAAATATAATTATCAATTAATTATTACTAATGTTTATGAACAATTATGGGTTGATAAAAATGTTAAACAATTTATCCAATAATTCTCCTAAATAATACTTTTTCAGGCGTATACAATTTTCTTTTATTTTGTTGGTCATTAATCGTCCTTTAAATGAGTTTTTCATCGATGCCAGGTGCACTGTTTGACGTCATGCGGTTTAACGTTGAAAAAGGAAATCGTTACGGGGTAGCAAGCACCCTTCGTGAACGCACCATGAGGGTAACGTTTTACCTTCTTCGAAGCCAAGTTTACCTTGCTAAAGGGTTTCCATAGCAACGTTAAAAAACACATAATAATAGACTGATATCGGATTGATCGTCGATTTACAAGCTTAAGAAAATAACCTTTTTTGATATGTCTTCGTTGTTAATGTTCAATTTTGAAATACTTCAATGCTTTTGATAAATTTTATTTACTACATTTTATTTACAAAACAATTTGTGTTTTTTTTTTTTTTTCGTAATAAATTCAATCGTTTTCGTCTAAATATTTTATAATAAAATATTTATAATTTTTACTTAATATGCTAATTGTAAAACTAGAAAGTTCACGTAAAATGTAACTAGTACGTGCTTTTGTTTCGACTTTTACAATTAATTACAAATTTCAAAAGAAAAATATTCTTGTTTTGTCATTTGAGAGATTGAAAATTATTATATATATATTAAAAAATATTGAAATGAAATTTTCCTATGAAAAAAAGAAGAAAGAAGAAAAATGAGAGACTTATAGAAAATATTATTAAAATATGATCAAATTTGAACAGTATAGGTGTCATATTAGAAATCGTAGTCATTTTTCCAAGAATACGCAAAAATATTTGTTCGGATAAAGGTGATAAATTTGATCGATCTAAGGAGCACGAAACGTTTAGGTCTATGCATACCGAGGGGTAAGCGTGCAAACAACAAAAATATACAGCTTTCTATAGAAAAGAAAAACATAAAATAGGAGTATAATAAAATCATTTCCAGGTGTGCGCGTGTAAAAGAGAAACACATTTGGTCTTCGTGTCCACGGAAAATTGAACGAAACCCATCTTTTTTTTTGTTCGTGACACTTCTTAGCTTCTTTTTATTTCTTTTTGTTAACTTTGTTTTTTCACTCTCTTCTCGTAGCGTTTCTTTTGAAATTCCCAGACTGGTGACAATACGACAGTCTCCCCGAGCCATTGCACGCGACTAATTTCTCCAATTGCCCTTAACTCGTCTTATTACTCTCTTAATTGGCAAATAAACTTCTTGGGTAGATGATCATCTTCTATTACTCCGAATTGTAACTTTAGAAATACCAACAAATATTTTTACATTAGATCGATGAACTTAATATTTACTAATTTCTTGGGTATTTTCATAAATCCGTAAATAACAGCGTAGTTGCAACGATTTCTGATTTATCGAAGAATTACGGTGGTTTAAGTATTCCTGTTCATTCTAGATAGCTATGGTTCGCCACAATATGGTAAGTCGAATATAATGGAGTCATTCAAATGGAAATTCCATATGTTTCGTACATTTGTAGTACTAAATTCGGAATCGTTGGTATACAAATCACATATTTGCTTATGCCTGCTGATGCCTCCTGATCTCAGATTATTCGAGTGTAAATGAGAATAGCTTGGAGACGGGAATGTGTTTTCCTCTTTTCGGTGTTCTGAGGAGGGGAGATTTGAAAAACCGTTGGATATATTACTATGTCGTATATCGAACCAGCAAGCCTACGAACTGACTAACGAATAAATCAAATATTTTATAATATTGTCAACAAAAAAAAAAAAAGAAAATTAATACAAATATTAAATAAATTTGTTTTATTAAATATCGACACGCATTATTAAATTAAAGGTCGATGAACTTGTATTGATTTTTTTTTTTTGAGAGCAGCTGAAGAAACGCGAGTACGGTTAAAAACTGACATGAAAGATCAATGAATGTGGTGTGAAAGATTAATCAATCAACGCTGATGAACATGTTGGAATAAGAAAAAGGGCTGTTTTCAATTTGCTGTTCTACTACTTCAAATATTATTTTTTACTTTTCATAACTTTCTTTTGAAAAAATGTTTGCATGTAAATTTAGTTGTTAGTCTAAAGTCGAGGAAGAAGATGATTTGTGAAGACTCATAGTAACATCTTTAAGCTATAACATATTTTTATGTGTTATCTTTTTTTTCATAGTTAATATTAGTTCTACCGGAAGTACGAAGTCCATTTTTAGAATAAAACAAAAATAATACATTTTCATATTATAGAATTTGTTAAATATTTAATTGTTTCTACAGTTCAAACTATAGTCCACAAAAAAAAAGATTGTATAATGGGTTTATATAAACATTAGTTGTGTTCTCACGGGTGATTAATTCTTAATATTGATTCTACCTTTTCAGAACGAACAAATTGGATTCTTAAATAATTCTAGCATTTTTTATCATTAATTTCCTCGAAGGATATTTTTAAATAGTTTTTATGTGATTTGGTCAATTTTATGTTATACAATTGTGAATAAACATATAAATGCATATATAAATATACTTGATCATTAGTGACACGATTACCATGAACTTAACAATGATTTTCATGCTCCAGTCTCTTGGTTGTTGGTACGTGTGTGTGTGTGTGTGTGTGTTTCGAACAGGAAAGAGAGACCGTTTTTATTATACTACTTTAATAGTGTACCACCTGGTGCAGGAACCGGAAACGTTCATTTTATTTCGTTTCTTCATGCCATACGAACTTTTTTGTTTTTCACCCACGAATTATCGATTTTAATTAATCCAAGTGGAACAGTTAATTTTATCGATCTTTTTAGTTTTAATTATTTAAAAAAAATGTCTACTCTTTCGTTTGCAGTCTAATTTATTTTTTTATCTAATTAAATTACTATCTCTCTTTCTCTTTTTCTTTCTCTTTAACGAGAACCTTACATTCTTCTTTTCTGTCCTTTTTTTCTGGCAGATCTGCTTTTTTGGGGTGGTCAAAAGCCGTAGGCCAGAACCAGAATAACAGGAACCCTCTGCCAAGAGCATACCACCACATGGCCAAGCATGATATGATATTGTGCACTTTCTTTCTCTCATATTATATCGTCTCACCTACACAACACAACAATATCAGCATATGTTTACATTGATAGAATGTATCAAACAACTTTCTATGCGTGTCAGCGTAATTCAGAAGCCCTGTATTTACACAATCCAAATTTATTGCTTAAATTTGGATCTTTTGCAGCAATTGCGCAGACAATTTTAAATGTCCGTTTTATATTTCGAGGTAGGACAAAAGTTTTAACAGGAATGCTAGCAATGCGTTTTAACATAGAAATTTCGTGTCGGTGGTGGCTTTACTGTATAGCAGTGCGACATCAATGGTGGCTTGATGAAAAGGAAGAGGGGTGAAAGTTGTGTCTGATATCGATTTCTCTTGCTGTTGAGAGAGAGAGAGAGAGAGAGAGAAAGAGGATGCTCACCGAACGAATGAACGGCTTCTATTTCTTGCCACAAATCCCTTTGGTGGCAGCACTATCTCCACCATTTTTTCTTCTTTCTTTTTAGGTATTTCATCAAAATTTAATTTAAACGTCCTGTTTTTTTTTTTTTATTGAAAAACTATTAGTTTTATATAAATTAAATTGCCCTTAAAAATGTCCCTCGATAGAATAGAAAGTGAACTTCATTAAAAGATAATATTTATTAGTTATTTCCTTAAGCGCCTTCTTTTTTTTTTTTAGTAAAAATATCATTCCTTATTTTCTTTCAAATTAGTAAATAATTCTAGAAATGTTCATAAATAAATGGAATACGTTAAAGTCTTTGATATTTTTCTTTTTTTTATGCAAAGAATGTTTTTATCTGTTCGCCGCGTAGCTGCACACGTTCTCAGACATTCTCAGTAGACTCAAATTCGGACTATACCACTTAAGTTACTTTTCCTTCCAGTTATATATCTTTCTCGAAACATAATGCGAAAGGTCGCTTTGTTTGTTGAACCTTTCAAATGCTAGTGAGAAATTGACGTTAATCAATGCTAATGCCATGTCGAGAAAATTTGTCTTATTTATTAAAAGCATCGAACATCCATCCAGACAAGAACTAATCGAAATATGCACAAGAGCGTTGCGAATGATCAGTAGCCATAGCTGCGTACAATGCGACAAACTTTCAAAGGGTATGCATATTTTTTTTCAATGTGTGCATGTACACGTACATATATACAAAAGTATATAGAGTACGTGTTCAGGCGTGGTACTTGGAATAGAGAATAAAAAGAAAGAAACGAATTACGTATCGTGTGCATATAACATATAGGGTACAGTACTTATTTCGAGAATAAGAAAAAAAGAAAGTAAGAAAGAAAGAAAGGGTGAAAGAGCAGTTACCGGCAAGAAGATGACTAGACAGTATCGAAGTGCCACTCAAAAAAACCTAAGAGAAGAGCAACGAGACGTGGTTAAGCATTTTAGGAACAGGTTCTTCACGATGAAGACCTAGTAACGGAGATACTTATACTGAACAAAAAAATGAAAATAATAAAAAATAATAACGATTCATTGCTTAATGAACATCAAACCTGAATATTACACAAAATATTAGATTACCTATCAAAAATAATACGATTCAACGATTTAACTTGAACTTACGTTAGAACTTATCTATCGTGGACAGTACAGTTACCTTCCTAAAAGGAATCATTTTTTTAAATCTATTCGAGATTCTCATAGCATTGTACTCGGACAATAAGGATTACTTGTGAAGATAGACTGAAGGAATTGAGTTTCGAATAGAAAAAATTAAGAACTAGGTGATCCTCTTCCAGTGCTAGACTACAACCGAACACTTGTCAATAATCGGATGAGAGTTCAATCGAGAAACTGAGGATACACAGACCTACAATCACTCAATCACTCTCTCTCTCTCTCTCTCTCTTTTTCTCTAGTGTAGTCACGAAACGATTATAGAAACGACTGGCTAACAACAGTCTTGAAAATTCGAGTTCTGAATTAGTAGACCTGAAAAAGTGAAGGAATGAAACATTGGAAATTGTACGTTGAGAGGTTTTTAGGAGGCTGAGAAGAAATCTTTTGTGCAGCAGCAGCAACAGCTGCTCGAAATAAAAAAACGAATCATGGTCTGATCCAAATTCAATCTCCAAAAAAAAAAAAAAGAAGTAAAGAGAGAAAAAATATGAAGAATGTGGAGCAGATAAAATATAAATTAATTAAAATTGATATTTGCTTTGTTTGAAGAGTAAATACATATATAGTTTTATATTTGTTAAGAGAGTAACACATGTGCGTGCAAGCTCATAAAAAAAAAGTATCACAATGTTGATTCTGGTTTAAGATCATTTTAAAAGGGGAGTGCAAAGTTGATAGGATACTGATTTTTGTTTAATTCTACACAATAGTTCATACACAATGGTTAATCAGGACCATGCACTGTGCAAGCAATAAGGCCCAATTATTTAACCGTTTTAAAGAAAACGATGGGAGAAATTTCACATGCATTCTTATATAACAGTTCGTTTCAAATGGAAAAATCAAATTTGGATAGTTTAATTGAATGTTCATATCAGCATCATAAAGTTATGACTTATTCCTTAAGGTAATGATTCTTGATCATTCTTGCAGAAATTGTTCTCGGTATTTTTTCAAGTTACAAATATCATTGATATATTGATCAAGTATCACAGAAACTTAAAAATAATTTGTTCACACTCAATTGTAAAAAAAATCACTGTTGAAAATTTCAACGATAGAATCCAACAGACTATAAAATTGGACTTTTTCCTCTGCGTGGTCAACCCTCGTTTCCGGTGTTTCATTCATAATACTCGAGAGGAATCTCATTTAAGTGAAAATAAATTAATGAAAATGTTACGAAAGTTTAAAGGTAGAAGAATTTCACTTATATTTTCTTGTATTATTACTTATTAGCAGCAGTATCACGTGAAATTTGGCAACGATCTTTGTGGAGAGCCAATGTCATGTCGTCTTTGATTTTATTTTTGTCGTGATTATTCTTATTGACTAAAGTAACATAACAAAAATTTCAAAAGAAATGTTCGGATGGAAATTTTTTACTAACACGAGAAGGAATAATTATTATAATGTTAATGAGTTTTAGAAAATAACAAAATACGTGGTATCTATGTATAAATGTAATTATAGTAGTTTATATTATAATCAATAAGAAAACAGGCTTCCATCTTAAAAGAAGAGAATTTACTGAATAGGTTTATCAATGCCACTTTGTAAACTCTCATGCTCTTTCAAGTGTATACACGCATCTCTTTCTTCCTTCTCTCTCTCTCCTCTCTCTCATACTCGATGGTTAGGCCACGCGACGCCACTTGAAAGGACATTCAAAGACCAAATATAGAATCACGTACCATCTGTATCCCTTCTGAACACAAGAAGTTTAATGCTCACCTATACGAGATTATGATGTAATGAAATGTAGAATCTTAGAAAAAAAGTATTAATATAAAAAATAAATGTATATACTACATATTTATCTAATGAAATAATTCTGTCTTTAAAACCGTCATCAATTTTGAATAAAGAAAAAACAATAACAGAAAATTTAGTGTTATTGGAAGATGCGCTTTTTTTTAACATTGAATCATACATTCGAACAAGTCGAAGAAAAAGTACTGAACGCCATTAGGCATTTGTGTTTTAAATTGCAAGAAAAATTTGATTTTTATTTTTCCAACTATTTCTTAAATATATTTATTCAATTCTAGACAAAATTGTTGATATGTTATTTGATAGGACGATGAAAGTAAACCTGCCGAATCGGTGGACACAGAAACCACAATTGTTATGCCAAAGGAAAACGAACAAAGTGTGCCATCAGTTCCTGAAAAACAAACAACACCGGCTAAGGAATCGAAAGAGAAGGAAGGACGAAAGGGAATCTTAAATGCTATTAGATTACCATTGGTTTCCGTGTTTCCTAGAAAGAAGAATAAGGTAAGGTTTTTTATTTTATAGAAAATCGATGAAAAATGTAAACACGTCGCACACTGCTTCCAAATTGTTTTCCATCTTATCGCTTTTTCCAAATCCTAATCGATTATTTGCAAATATATGAGTAAAAAGAGAAGAAGAAGAGGACAAATAAAATCTGGTGAAACTAAATACATGTTTGTGCGCTCTCGCCAACCCTTTTGCGAAACCTTACGAGGTTTTTCAAACCTCTCGGGCACGTACAAGCCTTTCTTCGAACCGCGTCCTCTTTTTGTTCAATTCTTCCTTTGCCTTTAGTCTAGGCTCTGTTTTAAAGTGCAAGAGATAAGACACGAATAATTTCACGAGAAAGACGTGAAATATTTTCGAAAGAGGGATCAAATTCGAACGTTTTACAAACTCAATTCTAAATATTGTATAATAGGATTATTATATAAATAAAATTATTTCTATAAGACATTATTATAGAACATCTTTTTGGATATAGATTGTTTTTAAAAGAAAAATATATTCAAAGTCGTCAAGTTATTTCTTTGAATCGTTCATTAACATAGTACTCTCTTTTTCTTTCTCTTTCTACCCTCGTATTCGGTGTAAGGTATATACAATGTGCAGGATTTTTAGTGTACTTTTAAACCTTTCTCTACGTGTTTGTCCAGGTGTAATCAACACCTGTGCAACCTGATTCATTCTTTCCTCGGTTACTCTTAACTCTTCGGCTCACATCAGACTTATCTACCGTTATCCGTGAAAATATCACTCATTAATCATCAACTTTTACGAGTTTTGATTAAAGCATTTATCAATGATCTTATTAAAATGGGAAAAAATAAAATTTACATAAGCAGTTATGTCGGTGAAAATTAGTTTTCCAAGGCATACAAAAATACGTATTCAATTAATAAGATATTTCGTATATTAAATGGGCTGAACATTGATTTCATTTCGATATTGTGCAGGATGGAGATGCTGAATTAGGAACAACTGGTACCGCCGGTTTAGCCAGTATCGAAACACTTGATGATAGTGGAACAGAAAAAAATCCCATAACAAGTGAGGACGGTATGGAAACGGTTCGTTTGGATGGCGATACCACCGATATTGCTGAATCTCCGAAACGTCACTTATTTGTTGTCTGCATCAGTGCTGCGAGGCGAAATTTATTTGCTTTGGGTATATATGATCATCATCACGATTTTCATCATCATTTTCGAAAGATTATTAGTTTCAATTGAAATTGGTTTTTTTTTTTAAGCTGCTGTATTGTGTATTTTACTGTCGGTTATTATCATCATATGCGTCGCCTGTGCTGGACCAAGAAGAAGCGCTAACCAATCTTACAAAACTGACAAGTACATATCAGCGGTAACATCATGTGGACTAATTCAAGGAATCTTAGAAGATGGTGGATATGCTTTTCGTGGGATACCGTACGCTGTGCCACCGATTGAAAATCGTCGATGGCAATTCGCTGAACCACTCAGTAAACTAGAAGACTGTTGGAACGGAACTTATCTCGCTCACAATGCCTCGAATATGTGCTTGCAATATGAAACTTCCGGTAGATACAACGGGGCCGAAGATTGTCTTTATCTTGATGTATTTACACCAGATGTCAGATATGATTCACCATTACCGGTGGTAGTCATGATTGGCGCTGAAACTTTGGATGGATCATCACCTGGTGTAATGCAACCATCAGCAAAGCTTGCTCGTGTACGCGACATGATTTTCGTTAGACCTAATTTTCGGTACGGATTAAATCTTATCATAGAAAAATAATTGAAAAAAAAATTAATTTTTTGTCGTTCGTTTAATAATGAATTTTTTTTATTAGATTGGGAATCTTTGGATTCTTAGCAGCCACGCCACTTTCTCAAGCTGCGCATCCACCATCATCTGGTAATTACGGACACTCAGACATCATAGCTGCATTACAATGGGTCCAATTGAACATTCAGAATTTCGGTGGCAACAAATCATCCGTAACTCTTTGGGGTCACAGAGCTGGCGGTACTTTAGTCACGACACTCATTGGAATACGAAAAACTCGTGATCTTTTTTCACGAGTCTGGATCTCAAGTGGTAGTGCGAATTTCCCTCACCAAGATCTAGAATTGGCTGAAAAACTGAGCAGTCAATTTATGCATGCAATTAATTGCCATGATGCAAATTGCATGCGTACCAAGAATGTTAAAGAACTGATAGAAGCTATACCGGATAAATGGCACCATAATCTTATCGAACTACCGAAAAAGGAAGAGATTTTGCCGGGGAATGATACTCATGAGTGGCTTATTTTAGATGGTGCTATTTTGCAGAAACATGTTGGTGAGATTTTGACGAAGAGTGAGTTGTCTATTAAGCTTATCATAGGTACTACTGCTCATTCCGGAACTCCGGAACAATATCTCTCTTCGAATGTCAGCTCAAAGCAAATAGAAAAGATCGTTCACGACTCTCTACTTGGCTCTAAAGGTTTAGCGGATGAAGCGCTTAGGTAATAAACGTTCATATTTCTACGTCGATATAATTTATCGATTCAAATTCAAATCTTATCTTCATTATCATTTCATTTACAGACGATACAACGCCACACCCGAAGGTTTGGCTAGAATGATATCCGACATACGAGTTATTTGTCCGTTGATGACAGTTGCCAGCATGAAAGCGAACGTTCCATTTTATGTAGCGACTCAACCACGTGGAAACTTAGCAGATCCCGATAGCGATGCAGCAGCCATACTCGGCACTTACGCTGCAAGAACGCCCGAAGAAAAAAGGCATGTATCTGCTATGCAACAATTGTTTAATCATTACGTATGGCACGGAGAAGTAGCACAGGCCGATCCGAAAGGCGCGAATAGAGTTCTTATAGTTGGTCAGGATATCATACCCCAACACGATTATCCAAATTGTGACTTTTGGATAAAAAATGAAATTGTTCCATTGTACGGCCGAATTGATTAAATTCCGCTATTGTCGTAGTTTCTGTATAAGGTCTCATCTTTGTTAAAAATCTCCCTTGGAATAATGCATTTCCACAAACGGAAGATTTTTATCACCAAGTTATATACTTTGATACTGAAAATAATGGCTGATTAATGTTTTATGAGAGAGACTCGGAATATTAAATATTTAAAACAAAAAAAAAGGATCATGATATAGCAACATAACAATCAATAGTATCTACCTGGACTCACAATTTTAAATAAAGCGAACAAGTGAAATAATAAAAATTAATGAAAAATATTCATGAGGACAATGCAAATGACTTAAATGATACAATACGAAGTATATAATTTTATTTTAAAACATGAGCTCAAAGTCACGAGTCACATGGATTTTTATGTATGTGTATAAATGTGAATCAAATTGTAATATATTATGAAAAGACAGGGATAAAGGGAGAATAACGAAAGCATAAAATCGCGCATAGCTTAAGATAAACAAAATAAAAATGAAAGAAGAAAAAAGAATAAATATCTACAGTTCATAATGATTATACATATTCTATATTCTTATAAGTTATGCCTCTCAAATGGGTATAGAAAGGATAGCAAGAATTATGAACAAATTGATTATTATTGTTATTCTTATTATTATCATCATCATCATCATCATCATCATTATCATTATTATCATCATTATCATCATCATCATCATGATCATCGATATATGTGCATTTATTAACATTTGACTTTCCTTTTTCATTTAATTACATCTCATTTAGAATATTCTTCTTTGTAACACACTCAATTAAAATGATTGAAGACAAAAATATGAATTTGAAAATGTTGGTTGTTGTAATGAATAATCTGTCAATATTTTTACACTTTAATGTAAAAGCAATGTTGCACAATTGCACAAAAATCTTACTCTTATATATATTGCAAAAATGATACTGGCCCAGCAAACACAAGATTTATAGAAATGAGTGTGAAAAATAAAAGTAAAAACTATTCAACAATTTATTATAAATCTTTTATAATGAGTTTATGACCATTTTATTGCTTTGATGATGTTTGCTAGTCAGTATGAATATTAATGCTTTAAAAAGTGTAGTACATATCCATTTCATCAAATTTATTGGATCGTTTCTACGGGTATATTTTTCACGTAAAACTTTTTTATTCCACTTTTTGTAAGATTACTTTTTCATTATTAATATTGGTTTAGAAGTAACGTAGTTAAGAAACAACATCCCCTTTCTTTCTATTTCACATCGATGTTTGTAGACTAATTATATACCTATACAGTATTTATTAACCCTTTTAAGGGAACCGAAGACTACTTTGTCTTATTTAAACTGAAGCTGCCAAATTTGATACTCCTTTAAAATAAACGATTACATGTATTTTTCAAAACATCTCGATAATGCGTGCTTTTTATATGTATCTATTTTTTAACATCTCAGTATAGTAATTAATTTTGAATAAAATTAATCCGAAGCAGTATTTTTTTGATAAATAAACTTTTTCAAAATTTCGTACAAACAACTACTATAAATTTATTATAAACGTGAAAATACTTTTTACAAAGTATACAAATAAGTTTTTTTAATTATAGTTAATTAATCGATTAACAAACGACATTTAAATCACAATGATTAAAATTAAATACAAAAATAGAAGTAGAATAATTTTTATACGCGTAACATTTGTTTTAAAATATATTTATTATAATTATTAAGAACTAATAGGACTGACAATTAAAATGGACCATTTTTACCTCTCTCTCTCTCTCTCTCTCTTTCTCACGATAAAAGATTATGTTCCAATTAAAGTAGAATTGATTAAAATCGTAAATAACTGTTAAGTATAATGTCAATGAATATTGAAACGCATTTATTGATAAACGTAATTTATTAAAAATGTCTTTGACAATTTTTTTTTTCCTTTAAGGTACAATTCCAGATTAAATTTTATTCATCTTTAGTAATTATATATTTATGAGTTAGTATTCATATGTTTAATATGCAAACGAAAAATAAAAAAAAAAAAATATAATTGAAATGCTAAAAAAAGAATTGTAAATATATTTCGAGGATAATCGCAGTAAGTGATATACTTATATACCAACAGAGTAAACTCGATGATTATATTATTATTACATATACATATATATATAATGTGTCCTGTCACTGGTAGTACAAATTTTCAAACTTTTTTTCGAAACAAAAAGCCTTCTATGAACAACTTACTTAGTTTTTAATATAGAAACATCCTCTGTTCGCTTGTATTACTAGTTACAAGACATCCTGTATATTTCTAATATGGTGTTCTAATATGGCTAATCTATTATTGGCATTATACAAAGAATTTGTACAAATTTTCTTTCCCCGTAGATACGATCCGCGTTTAAATAACGTATGACAGATATTACCGATATTCTTTTTAAATTATCCTTAGAATTATTCTTAGCACTACCTTATTATATACTTTTATTTAATTTATTATTTTCATGGATATGTGATAAATAAGTATTTATGAGACATTCCAGCAATGTCTTACTATGTATGTAGCTAGTTTATTACAATTAAATAATAACTTTTAATTAATTAATTAATTATTTATTATTATTATTATTATTATTATGATACGATGAAGCGACAACGCATTAAAGAAATACAAATTTCTGTAATATATTATTATATCGCCAATATGTACATTCAGTTTAAGATTAACGCAGAAATATTGTAACAATTTTCTCTTTATCCATATAAAAACGAAATGTGTTTCCAATTTATGTAACATTGTTGAAATAACAAATAACACGAATACAATACGCAATGAATTTTTATATCAATTTTTATATAACAAATATTTTTCAAAAATGATTAGAAAATAGAATTATTTCAATGATTCAGATCATCTATAATTTTATATTAAGCATATATATATACATATATATTATTATTATTATTATTATTATTATTATTATAATTATAATTCAATGTTGCACGCACTTTTGTATTTTATTTTCTAAGTAATTTTCAACTATACTACAATAGAATTTTATATTGTATCTATTATGCCGTAAAAAAATAAAACCGTACATAATCCAAAATGTAATATTTCGTTATAGATTTATTGTGCAAATTTAATACTTTTACTATGACGTCTTGGAGACAAAATTTGGATTACTGTACAAATGTACATTGTCCATTGCTCTCAACGGAAATCAACGTGTTACAGATGTGACACTAGTAGCGAACGTGTTAAATACTATAGATAATAATTTTATTAAAATAAAATTCCCCTTTTCAATTCACACCCGTGTATACATACACATGCATACATAATTTGAAATAAAAAACAATTTTGTCCTAAATTGTTTCAAAATCAAAATTTTATTATAACAAGGTACAATAATTCATAAGAGCAACGATACTTCTTGTCATTTGTCATTAATGTATTATATATATCGCATAACAATATATAATTTATGACAATACAAATTTTCGAGTGATACTGCTTCAAACGTCAAACAATAACAAAGTTTAAATGTAATTTATTATTTGAAAGGTTTAATTACTTAATTGAAATAAATAAAAAATGACATTACAAGTAAGATTAAATATCACATTTAAAATGAATAAAATATTATTTAATTAGAGAGAATAAATATTAACTATTATACAAATATAACAAATCGTGAAATCTTAATGTGAATATATATTTGATGAAACAATGAATTAAAATCGATTTTTAATAGACTTTTCTTGAAACTTAGGAACTTCCTTCTCTATAATATGTGACAATATTTTACAAACCACTTGTCGTGAATTCCAACGATGAATATTTGTTATCGTTGACCAATTAAAATTGTCTAATTGTTCATGATACAAAGTACCATTTGGTGTCATATGATAAACAGATTGCAATGTTATAGACGGTTTTTCCTTGGGAAACATCAAAGGAAGATGAAAGTATACCAGAAAGTAAAAATCTCTATGCTCTAAAAGTATTGTAATATCTTGAAATGCCATAGCATCATACTCTATAATAGAGTCCCTTTGTAATAAAAGTAAAGTGGATACAAATTGTTTTCTACATTCGTAATACTGATTGATCATATTTATCTGAAATGAAAAATATTTATTGACTAAATTATTGGAATAACGAAAGAAAGTCCAAAATTGTATAAATAGCTACCTTATCCATAATAAGTTCTTTTATTTTTGGTATATAAGCCCTTAAATAATTACTAGATAAAAACTGAGGTATATGCAACGAAAATGCACCAGAAAATGTTTCTTCTAAATTTTTAGATAAATACAGATTTGGTACTATGCAATTCCAATCTGATCCGCAAAATGTAACAACAAGCTTAGCAGCATCATTTTTAGATTGATTTGCTCGAGCAGGTAACTGAGAAAAATCTATATCTAAGCGTATAGAAAAACAAGCTTCAACTGGTTTTATACTCATTGGTAGTAAAGTAACTTCAATATCATCTGGTGATATTGTATCTAATAACATAGAATATTCTAATTTTAAACGGTCGTGCTTTTCCAATAACTGTATCTAAAAAGAACAAAACAATATACATATATATATATATCAATATTTTTAGTGCAATATTTAAAGTTTTATTAACAAACACTGTGCCGTCCGGTTAATATGACATACTGGTGTTGCAAACAAATGTATCGAACAAATGCCGGACCTCAAAGTGTTTGTATATCATTGTAATTAACAAAACAATCATACTTGATGTTTCTTATAAAAGGATAAGAGTTCAATGATAACTTGTAGCAATGCATTACTATTTTTACAATCCCATTGAGCGAGACTAGGTACGGATATCGATAAAGTATCAATATCTGGATCAGTTAAAAAAGTCTCATCAGAGAATATAAAATCAGGACCCAATTCTGGATATTGACTATCAAATAATACATTCCAAACAAGATTGTGGCTGGCATAAGGTATTGATAATTTAAAACTATCTCCTTCCGTTTTACCACAACTAGAAAATATTGTCTTCAATTCTATTACATCCCATCCTGCTCCTTCAAAACAACAATATATTATACAATGACGAAATAAAATTATGCACATATATATAAATATATTTAAATTAAATAACATTAATTTGTTAAAATAATAAATTGATAAATTATTTAATTATTTTTAATAATATAAAGCGATCTTACCTAACCTATCTTTATTTAAAACGCTATTTAAAAATGGTGCAAAATAATTGTCAATCGACTCTAAACGTAATTGTTGCTGATTGAACATTTTATCGGACGACTTTAGATACACCATGAATTATTATTTTATTTCTTTATTACTTTACGTCTATAAGGAAGAACAATTATTTCATACTTTTCAATATTTAATAATTTATACGATTATAAACTTGCAACAAGGAGTCTAGATAACAGCAGGACGATCGCAATGTATTACAAATGTTCGAAAAGGAGGGGATGGATCTTTTGCCACTAGAGCGCGTTAGTGTGGCTAATGTCAGATTCTTAAAACTTTGTTTATTGTCGCGGGAATGTAAATAACGATTGTTCTTACGCATTAATCAAAATAAATTAACCAAATCTTATAATTAACGTTAAAAATAGCAATAAGAAAACATTTTTTTATTATTTTACAATTATTCTCAAGATATTATCGTCAACTTGTTGTGTAAATCTATTCAATTTCATCTTACCTAGTTGCAGTTGAGTAAAGGATGGAAAACTAAATTTAAAAAGTCCAATTAAAAGTAAATTGTAATTTATTATCGTAAATTGCACTTTTTACAAGACTAGAAATTTCTATAGCATAAATAGAGTTAAAAAACATTTGCATCATTGCATTTTTTTTATATTAGTAAAAGTATGTAGATAATATTTTCTAGTGAGAAAAAATAATCTAAAAAATAATATGTTTCAAGGTAAAAATAATAATTTCGTTTGAGGAAGAAGCAAATATTAAAATACTACGTTAAGATACGTTTATTTTTATCATATAAAAAATAATTTACGGTACATTCATTTTCAATCATTTAACAAAAATATATTAAAAAATGTATTTTTTTATCGACTGGTAAAACATGTGTCGCTATCTAGCAGTAATAACAATTACTTTATTTTACTGACTGGTAATACATGTGTCGCCATTCAGCGGACTTCAGCGGTACTTCATCTTTTCGACTGGTAAGACATTTATCATCATCAAACTATTATTTTATTTTACCGATCGGTAATATTTGCTAGTATTTAAAAGGACAATCATAAGACTTTCAATGGATTATCACACACAAACAACGTACTAGATTTTCAATTGACTTTTTATATAAAATTGAAACTTATCTATCTTAAAAATCAAACTCGCATTAAAATTATTGTAAAAGGAAACCTTCCATATGAGATTTAAATTAATAGAAAATATTTAAATTAAATTAGGATTTATAATTATTTAGGAAATTAAAGGATGCATTACTTTTGCATATACCACTGTATATGGTTTTTTGTTTTACCCAAAGTAAGTATATTAAGAGCAGTGTCTTCAAAAATCTTTCATGGTTGTGTGGTATTGTTGGATTCTTCTTATCGTTATCAAAAGTAATGCACAGTCTCTTCCAGTCAAACGATTTAAAATCTCTGTTGAAAAAAAATCATAATATTAATCTTATGAAGAAATATTTCTTAAGATTGATATAATATTCTTTTTTTTATCCAAATATATAATACAAATGCTTTTTTTTTTAAATTATATTCCTCATAAAATTAATGTCAAATGCACTAGTAAAAAGTAAAAAAAAAAAAAAAATTTAGTAAGCTTTACTTTATAATAATGAAAAATAAGAAAAAAATATCTTTAAAAAGATAGACAATATTAGATGCGATATTGGTATCGGTGAGACATACACATCACCGCTATTGTAAACTACTACATTACTACAGCTAAAGGAATACATGTCTATGTGAAATTTCAATTCGCGTTTTTTCGCAAATGGCTGACCATATGCGTCTAGTTCAAACGCACAATGTATTTTTTCATGGACTACTATGAATGTGTAAAATTTGAAAAAAAATCTGAGGTTTACACTTCTGAGTCTCTCCCGATTAGTTTCGAATGTAAATCGATACTACAATACTTACTAAATTATAAATTCATATTAAAATCTTCATGTTCATCTGGTAGGAGATCATTAACTGATGGATTTGATAACATTGTATAAAGTTCTGGAATTAATTCGTCAAATGTAGAAATGTCATCGTATTCGGGCAATGGAGAACTAGCGTTTAAATTAGTTTCATTAGTGAAGATGTTACTTGAAGATGAGGCACTAATAAATGGTTTCACTATATCGAAGTCAATTGATTGCAATGCTATATTTTTTAACGACGATAGTCTATTCAAAGTAGAAGCATTTTTTGGAGGATTGTTAATTAAAGTAGTGGAAGCTAATGGTTTTACTAATTCCACTTGTAAATTTGTCGATGTTGTTGCTTCATTCGAAGTTAAATGTGACAATTTGGGGAAGGAGGAGGAGGAGGAGGAGGAGGAGGAGGTATTTTCTGGAAGTCTGACATCTGCTAAAACATCAACTAATAATATAACAAATTCGACATGGGTTTCTTCCAAAAATGAATCTCGTGATGTCGTTGGTTGCTTCGAAGTTGAAGCTTCAGAATAATTATTAGAGAAGATATTTATTAAGGAAATGTCCATTGAAGTGATGACATCTGATACGACGGAAGCTAATAATTTAACTAATTTGGAGTTGATAGGTTGTATTTGCAAATTTTTCGATGTCGTTGGTTGGTCCAAATTTGAAACTTCAGAATCGATAAGAGTATTTTTTAAGGAAGTATTAGTTAAAGTATTGACGACTGATACAACGAAAGCTAATGATTTTACTAATTCCTCGTCGATTTTTTTCACTGGAAAATTCCTTGATGTCGATGGTTCGTTCATAGATGAAAATCCTAAGTAGGAAGAGGTGTTATCTTCAAAGGTGAAACATGGTAACAGTTCTACTAAATCGACTTTGGTTTCTTTCAATAAAACATTTCTTATTTTCGTATCCCCAGTTAAAAATGGACATTCGTAATCTCTGTCAACTCCGATCTCATTGATTATTTTTATTATTCGTACTAATTCAGCGTGATTTTGTTTTGATAATAAAATTTGTAATTCTGACATTTTATGAAAATTAATAAATTTGAAATCGGAAATGTCAACTTGAGAAGAGGAATCTTTTAAGATAAATTGGTCTATTTCTTCTAATTCATGGTGGGATTTTATTAATAAACCAAATTGCATCAGTCGTTTAAAAAGTAATTGTCATAAATTGGGAGAGATTGTTTTCAAATAGATGACATTTGATGAAACATCATCAAATGGTTTATCCAATTCGTGGCCAGTTTTTAATGTTGACTTTTGTTTTAAATTGGACTCCTCATCTGATTGTGAACTTACACTTTTATCCGTTATGCTTGTTTCGTTTATCAATGCTTTCCCTTGTAAACACGATTCTGCTTTTGAATTCGAGTCTTCAGTCGAATTTAATTGTGAGTTTGGCGAAATATTTTTATTCAACGATTTCGATTCTTCTTTTTGACTATCTTCCTTAGCATATTGTTTCGCAATATTTACAGTTTTCCTTCTTCTTGTTCTACTACGGTATTCTCGAGGTACTCTATATTTCTTTCGCTTTTGCGCGACTTTCTTTTCTGGAGGATTCATTGTCACTATTAATCTATATCACGTGTAATGCTAAACTATCTTATTTAAAATGTTTTTATTAAAATCAAAAATTGACCATTGCTTTAACGTACGATTTTAATTAACCATGTAATTTGTACAACGTCAAATAGATTTTATGACGGTTACTATTGTACGAAAGAAATGATCGATTGTAGATCCTATTATAAGTACTGTTGATATTTCGATAGCCAATGAACCCGCAGAATAGATTGTCGATAGATGACGCTAACACGTTTCGGCTAATCGCGTCGCATCATTTAAGATGTCATTTTCAAAAATAAAATTACCGACAAATATTGTTATCCATGGAATTCTGGGTAAAGTCTTATTTAAGAGACTTTGAAAATATTTATCTTATTGTCCTACGAAAAACAAGATACAGATGAAAGTAAGTTCGTGTTGAATAGAAATTTATTGGCAACATTGTTGAGGTATTTTCTAAGATTATTATTTGTTTTTAAATATTGTCAATTATAACTATATATTAATATCGTAATTAGTTATAAATGATAGAAAGAGGTCATTGATATTAGAAATCACGCCGCCTGTTCGTCGTTATTCATTACATCAAAATATTCCAAGTGCAAAATTTCTAATCGTAAATAAGAATGTTTGAAACTATATCTTGTTAGAAGTCGAACAAAGTCACGAACGTTAAAGGATTATCATGACTGCTACGACTAACAACGTTATATTTCTTAAGATTATTCTATCTGAAAAAAAAAAAAGTATAAGTTTAGATCGAAAATCTATTGGTACCAGGGACAGGATGAAGTACAATAGCGTGATTCGTAGATTTCGTTCTAAGCTCCACCATGCACAGTTTATTACCACTTTTATCGATCGTCTGAACAACATTTCTTAATGAGATATGATATATTTCCATATAACATATGTTTTATAAACGTTAATTTGATAAGAAACTTTTGATTGTGCATTTTTTTTTTTTTTTTTTAGAACCTACTTACATATATGTGTAAGTAGAAGAAGACGTTGTAATTTTGAGGAAGGTAAACGTCGAGTTAAACGAAAGTACTCGCGATGCTTCATGGTGGTCCAGACAGCTTATTATTGTTATAGACGACATAACGAATCAATATATCTATTATTGGAATATCGAGCGTCCCATTTCATCGTCTTTTGAGATAACGCAAAAGGAGTTATAGGACGGACGGTCGGTCGTTAATCGTCGTTTTGGAATATGACGAAAGGACGAAAAAAGGAAAGAAAGATAATTCGAGAAGAGAGTATCTCTTCGGAGGCAGGCGAGAGTATTGATTTAAGAGGTTCCCTTGAGAGCGAGCGAGCGAGCGAGCGAGCGAGCGAGCGAGAATGAGATAGAACAGAGGAGGGGATTTCCTTTGGAAATGTGCGTGGCCGAGTGTCGAGGGAGGCTGGTTGGTGTGGTGTGTGGGTGGCTGGAAAAAACAGATGCGTGTGCGTGCGTGCGTGCGTGCGTACGTTCGTCCGTACCCTTCTCCTTCCTCTCTTTTTTTTGTCTTTCTCTCTTCTGTTTTTTGCGTTGCACGACCGACTCTCGCTCGTTTCCTGGCTGCCACGCCGGCTGGCAGACCGCTGATGCACGTGGTGTCTAACGCTATACAAAACTGACAGAGAGGGTGAATATAGGAGAGAAGGTCATACTGTGCAACGAAAAAGGGTGAATAAAAAGTGCTCGTTAAATATCCTTTCT